TGGGCGCGCCAGTTTTTCTAGATGAAGAAAAAGGATTTCAAAAGAAAAAACGAAAGACCGAGAGACCCAAAAGGACTCCACAGGTGTTCATTGTACAGTTCATCAGTATCCATCATGATCACAAAGCAAGGTGGTCAGCTGGGCCAGCCTGCAAGGAGGTCACGTTCCCTTCAAACATAGATTCTCTCTGGTTCGGCTAGCCCTGGTTTTAGTATGTCCAGAGCACCCTTCCAACAATCCCCAAGATCTTCTTTCTAGGTAGTTATAGATAGCTCAGACCACATCACCATGCACATGAAGTTAGGGTTCCTTGCCCCATTGTGCACCTCAACCACTGCAGTGGATCCTGACGTACACTGAACTTCATTTGCTACTCGGTTGTCTATTAACCCAACTGGATGAGATCCTTCTGGACCTCTTTAAACTGGGAGAACAAATGGAAAGGATGACAGAACAAGTCTTATCTATTTCAGATATGGAAAATTGGATCACAAAGGCTGTGCCTACCTCCAGAATGGAACACTTTATTCCCAGAATTGCAATGAAGTAGCCAAAATAATTTGCAAGACCAGTGTCCAGCGTGGTTGGACCTGAGCAGTCCAATTTGATTCCCAGGCCACCTGTGGAGCAGAAGCTGTTTCTTGACCTGCTGTGCTGCTGCAGTGGGGTGATTCTAAATTCCTTCCCTCTCTGTTATGGCAAATAAATCTGAATTTCACAGAATGTCTTCCTTGACTTTGTGCCTACAGACCCTGCTTGCTTTTAGCCAATCCCAACGCGATGGAGATACGGCCCGGGGAGTCATCGTCATATTGCCTTGCTCCGACCCAAAACGGCTCCACCCAGCGGGAGCCACAGAGATGTGGCAAAGTACAGGGGTGGGGGGGATTTCTGCAGCCCCCTGCTGATGCTACTTCCTGTAAGCCAGCCTTCCAGACCCCCATGCCCCAACTTCCCTTGCCAAGCCCTCCTTCAGCTGGTAGGCAGAGGCCCGAGGGAGGGTCATGGCCCCTCTCCTCTGAGACTTTTCTGCTCTTCCCCTTGTTTAGGACCTAGGAGGAGCTCTGCTGGATCAAGCCATCCCGGCTTCCCTCTGTGAGCAGCCAGGCACCTCTGAGCTGCTCACAAGCAGGAGGCATTCCCCGCCCCCACCCCCACCCCGTTTGGTGGCCAGCTAAGGTTTGCAGCAACCACTTAGCCCAACAATGGCCAAGGGCCACACTTCATGGGATGGGGTGGGGCTGCATCCCCCGTGGGCAAAGTGGGTTGTTTGGGAGAATTCTTGGCTGAGATGGAAGAGTGTTTTCCTCTGATTAAATGTCATGCATTTATTTTACACTTGTGTTCTGGCTTCCATTTGTCCCACACACACACACACACACACACACACACCCAAAAGGGCTGGGAGCCGCGTTGCCCATTTTCCACAGTCCTGACCGGGGGGAGGGAAAAGGGTTGCAGACGGGGACTTGGGGGCCACAGGTAGCCCATCCCTGCCTTTGCCCTTCTGAGACTGCACTTCTGTCTGCAGAAACTGGGATGAAGCCAAGGAGATCCGAAAAGCGAATCTCATTCCTCGGAGAAAACTTTCTCATTCTGGGCCAAAGGCTTGGAGGGGAATTGTCAACACTTAGAAAGCCTTCCAGTGACAGAGGCTATGGGAGTTGTAGTCCAAAGCATCTGGACAGCATCAGCCTGGGGAAGGCTACCGTATGGAGCAAGTACAGGTTGTCCCCATTTAACAACCGCAATTACAACCGGCAACTTGGTCATTAAGTGAAGCAGTCGCTAAGCAAAATATCACGTGACTTTGACTGTGCTTACGATTTTGCTTCAGCTTTCCTTCGCTTCGCAGCATCAGAAGGATATGACTCCAACAGCCAGGATGTGAGTCCAAATGGCAGGGAAGGTTTCTGGAACTCGAGTCACGAGGAAGCTGGGGGAAAGGGGCAAATCTTATAGCCCTTTTCCCCCACTTCCCCTCCCTTTGGAATGCTTACCCCAGCGCTGGGATAACTATCAAGAAGGGAACTGATGCTGGTGTTTACATTCATTGGAGAGGAAGGGATCACAAGGGAGTAAGCAGCCCCGCAATGGAGAATGCACATCCAAAGGAATGCGCTGGGACGGGCTGTTTGCCTAGCCCCCCCCCCCAGCCACCAGCTGCTTAGGAGGCAAAGAAAAGCCTTCAGGGTGAAACTGATTAGGGTCTTGTCACTTTCAGGCAGCAGCCCTGAGTGCAACTAATTAAGGTCACAGAGTTGAGCTTGTTAATTTGTGGTTAGCACTGTTTAGGAACCTCTGTCTGAGAAAAGCAGCTCAGGAAGTGATCGCTCTTTAAAGCAATCTCTGCGCTCTGGGAGGGGGCAAACAGAGAAA